CCAGGTGAAGCAAGCATTCTTAGAGCAATATTTTCCAACCATAAAAGCTGCAAGCATAAGGAAAGACATATGTGTAATCTGACAACAACATGGAGAGCCCTTTGGAGATTACTATGAGCGATTCACACATTTGGTTACATCTTGTCCTAATCATCAGATTTTAGAAAATCTTTTAATACAGTATTTTTATGAATGATTGAGTGGTACTGATCGTGTAATGCTTGATGCAGCAAGTGGAGGAGCATTCATGGACAAGACACCAACTAATGTTAAGGCCTAAAGAACATTGATGGCAACACACAACAATTTGGAGGGAGAGATGAGCTACCTCTTAAGAAAGTTAACGAGGTAAGTGCTAATTCTGGTATTGAATTACAATTAGCTAACTTGACTAATCTTGTGCAACAAGTTATGGTGGCTCCAAAACAGGTGTGCGGTGTATGTTCAATGATGGGACATGCCACGGACATGTGCCTTTCATTGATGGATCAAGGTGGTCTTGAGCAAGCTAATGCGTTAGGAGGGTTTCAGGGGCAACAAAGGCAAATGTATGATCCATACTCCAACAACTATAACGCGGGGTGACACAATCATCCACACTTAAAGTGGAACAATCAAGACAATGGACAACAATATGTTCCCAATACCTATAACCATCTACCTAGTTTCTTTCAAGCAAGACCATAAACACCATTTCAGCCTCAACAACAAGCTCCAAGTAAGTCTCTTAAGGATTTAATTGCTTCTTTAGCTAACTCTACTCAATCTCATCAATAGGAAACAGACAAAGCAATTGAAAACCTTGAACGCCAAATAAGTCAGTTGGCAAGTTTGATAGGGCAACAACACCAACTAGGAAGGTTGCCTAGCCAAACCGTGGTGAATCCAAATGCAGAGCAGATGAATGTTGTCACTTTAAGGAGTGGAAAAGAAGTTTTTGAGCAGCCGAGGATGCAAAAGAGGACTAGAAAAGATACAAATGAGAAAGGGGAGCTACAAACCAAAAATCTTGAGCAAGATGAGGCTTCAACTGAAACTAAAAAGTCTCTTAAAGTTACAAAATTGCACAAAAAAGATTCTTATGAGGTAAGTAAAGAAGTTCAAAATTCATGTAACTCATGTGTCCCTGTTCCTTTTCCTCGTAGGTTTATGAAGTCTAAGAAAGAGCAAACTGATAAGGAAATCTTGGATACTTTTCGGAAAGTCCAAGTGAACTTACCTCTTTCAGATGCCATAAAACAAGTGCCCAAGTATGCAAACTTCCTTAAAGAGCTTCATACGAACAAGAAGAGATTCAATGATCAAGAAATTGTGGCATTAAGCGAGGAAGTGTCGGCTTTTGCAGAGGAAGCTGCCACCGAAGTTGAAAGATTTTGGTAGCTTTACCATTCCATGTGTAATCAGAGAGAAAGAGTTTGGGAGAGCATTGTGTGATTTGGGGGCATCCATCAATCTGATGCCTTATTCAGTTTATGAATCATTGAACCTTGGAGACTTGAAGGAAACAAAAGTAGTAATCTAGTTGGCAGATTGTTCAAATAGATATCTCAAAAGCCTATTGGAAGATGTACTTGTGCAAGTGAATGAGCTTATTTTCCCCGCTGACTTTTTTGTTCTTGAGATGGAACATGACCCTATGCCTACTGTACTTCCTCTTATATTGGGAAGACCATTCCTTATAACAGCACATACGAAGATTGATGTCTACGATGGTACCTTAACCATGGAAATTGATGGAGAAAGCGTCAAGTTCAGAATCTTCAATGCTATGAGGTATCTTAGCAATTTTGAATCTGTTTGTCTATTGTGTTTGACTATTTTGTGCAGGATTGTTTTAATGAAGGTGTGGGACAAGATAATTTAGAGAAGGTGTTAGTGCATAGCATTACACATGGAAAGCTTAATTATTCCGAGCACATTGAAGAAGAATTAATCCAAACAATGGCAGCTCTTAAGTCTCTTTCACCAATTCGTGGTAAGTCTTCTTCCTATTTTATTTCTCTTCCTACTTCTAACTAAAAAGCTCTTCCTTTTGTGATTCACACACCCAAATTGGAGCTCAAACTGATTCCTGAACATTTGAAGTATGCATTTTTGGGAGAGGATGAAACATTACCGGTCATCATATCATCACAACTCAAGCTTCAATTGAATGAGTTAGATGAAATCCGGAATGATGTATATGAGTCTAGTCAAATATACAAGGAGAAATCAAAGGTATTTAATGACAAGATGATATCAAGGAAGAGATTTGCCATTAGACAAAAAGTTCTTCTATTTACTTCTCGCCTTCGGTTATTTCCAGGTAAACTTCATTCTCGATGGGTTGGTCCATTTGTTATAACTAATATTTTTCCTCATGGTGCAGTGGAGATCCAAAGTGCAAAGACCGGAAACGTGTTCAAAGTGAATGGACATAGACTCAAACCATATTACGAGTCTTTTGTAGAGCATGATGTGGAGGTTGTACCCCTCCAAGAACCATCTCCCTTTGGATGATTACTCTTGGTACCGTCCGACTACGGACGTAAAAGCAAGCGTTTATTGGGAGGCAACCCAATATTTCTATTTATTGTCTTTTTATGTCATTTTCAATTTTCCATTTGTTTTTGTTTTCTGAATTTTCTTGCATGCTAAATTGAATTATTTCTTTTCTTTGTAGGAAAATTTGATATTGTCCACCATTGGAGTTGATTGCAAAATTGAAGTTTGGGGGTCATCGTTTGCTTTTACTACAAATTGGGGAAGTTTTCAGTCCAAATGCTTTATTTTGTTTCTTACTATTTTATTTTTCTTACTATTTTATTTTATGCATTATTGTGTTTTCTGACATTGGGGACAATGTCTAGTTTAAGTTTTGGGGTAAGGATTGAAAACATGACCAAATTGAAAATCATAGTGACCATATACAACCTATGTGAGTTTTTGAGCCTATTGAAAGTGTGCATTTTTCATACACTCATATTCTTTCATGTGTGATGAACTTATGTGACTTATATCTCTAGAACTTGCATAACGATCTTTCGAAATGTTTGTCATTTGATCACATGAACTTGAAAATGATAGAGGCATTAGGTTTATCACCATGGCCCAAATAAGCATGTTTCCTAAATAAAAATGATATCATTAGATTGCCAATTTGAACCATATATGTTGAGCCTTTTATTTCTTATCACCATATATGTCTACCCTTATACCTTACACATTTTTTCTTACCCTTTCCAAGCTAGTTAGTGAGCAATGTGAGATTGGCTTATGAGAAATGTTTGTGAAGTACTTTGAAGGAGTCTGGCAAAAGAATAAGTGTGGGGGTATTTCATGTTTGTATTTAGTTATGTGCAAGTTTGTCAAGAAAAAAAAAAGAAAAAAAAAAGAAGAAGAAAAGAAAAATTGTATACAAAGCAAATAAAAAGTTTTTTTTTTAAGTTTTAGTTTAGGGGTGTGGTTGGAGGTATTAGCATAGTGGTTGGAGAGCTTGAGTTCTTATAAATCTCAACAAGAGAATTGCTTGCAATGTAGCTTAGAACTTGTCTTTACCTATCCTTTCATTTCTATAACCCTCTCTCTAAGCCTCATTACATCCAATAAAAGTCCTCTTGATTTAAGTTTTGCAATTATGATTGTGGAGATGATCTCTCACATTTGATTCTTTGAGGGAAAGACCCTTATTTTCATATGCTACAATTGACAGTAGCCCTTATTTTCGGTGGCTGGTCAGTAGGGATAGTAGCCCAGTTTTTGTGACATTTTAAGTAGTTAGATAAAACAATCTTTTGCTGGAAATACCCTTATTTTCATATGCTACAATTGACAAATCTTAGTGTTAATAAGGAAAATCAATAGGACATTTGTGTGCTACTTTGTGGTGTTAATAAGGAAAATCAATAGGACATTTGTATGCTACTTTGTGGTGTGCTTTTAATCCTATCAGATAGTTCCACAAATGCTTTTAAATTGATTTATACATTTTATGCCATATCATATATATATATATATTTAAATATTATGATATGGTTGAGTTTTAGATTGCATCATGGTATATCCATATGCATATTACCTGCATATAATTATTGTGAATGTTTTGAACGCGCAGGTACGTTCAAGTGAGTTTATGGTATTATTTGAAATGATTGAGTTATGGCATGACTATATTTATGTTTTATGCAACTCTGACACTGTCGTATAGGTTGCAATGATCAGCAACTCTGACACTGTAGTACAGGTTGCCTAGGCAACTCGTACAGGTTGCCTAGGCAACTCCGACACTGTCGTACAGGTTGCAATGATCGGCAACTCCGACACTGTCGTACATGTTGTAACAATAGGCAACTCCGACACTGTCGTACATGTTGTAACAATAGGCAACTCCAACACTGTCGTACAAGTTGCCTATGAGTCGTACAGGTTGCATTAGGCAACTCTGACTCATGTGTCAGCATAGATTGATGAGCACCTGATTTTATTATATTGCTGCTGATATGTAGTGATTTGGAATATTTCTGGAATTACTGTTGATTTGCATTTGGTTTCATACTTATACGTAGTATGATTTTCTGGAAACTATATAGGTTTTAAAACGAATGGTTAACGTTTTTGAAAGGTTTTTATTAAAACTTTATTTTCAGACCCACTCACCCTTGTTTTTTCACCGTTCCAAGTTTTAATAGCTGAGCTTTCTTCTCGATGATGATTCGTGGCAAATCATGGTATTAGAGATTACCTTCGATGGTATGATTCTCAATCCACTCTACTGTACTTTACTTATATTCTGACATCACATGTGAAATGAGTTCATACCCGCTCATGCACTCTTGTATTTAGGCACTTTTAGGTTTAAACTAGAACGGTTGCCCGCGCGTTGCTACAGGAATGCTTAATAGATTATAAAAACATTGCGTTAATGGATGCCCAATCGATCCCTCTGAAAGCAAATTGGTTTTACAACACTAAAAATCTTGAACTCTTGCATTTTGTTCCAAAATTATATGCACTCTTGAGAATCACAAACTGAAAAATTTACAAAAGATGAGGAATAAAGAATGTTTCCTCCAACTACAATTCTTTGGATTTCTTACCAACAACTTGCTTACTTTCATGCCTCTTATTAGAAATCAAATCAAATCCCCACATGCACCCTAAACTGTTTCTAAAATCATGGCAAACATTGATTGTAGAACGAAGCATAGGGCACCCAAATATAACCTGAGTAATCAAGTAACAAAATGACAAACCAAGGGATACATCTATTGTAGCATTACTTTGTAATTTCTGCAAGCTGGACACCTACAATATCAATAGTGACATAATTTCTTCCTAAGCCATCGGAAAAACCAAAATTGAACAGAACTTCCTCCCCACTCCTCTGACCAAATAAAAGAAGTAATGTTTCTCTTTTGGAACCTCGAATCACATGACACAGAACCACACATAACCAAAATTAAAAAAAGAACTGAACACATTAACTCTTGACAAAAACTTATTACCCAAGAATGGAAAGTCACTAAAAATACAAATCACCAATGAAGAAATAAGGAAACAAATCAGCAACCTAACTTATATAGCATTAGGATGAACCATGCTAATTTGTTCATAACTGATCTGTCTCCCTCCATTTTTCAAACTTGCAACCACATAGAATATTATAACATAATGATCAAACAAAACAGATTTAAGTTATCTGGTGAAGTGGGTTAAAGTTTACATAAGTGTCAAAAATGAACTTTGCAAGAGAATACAATAATTTATGATGAAAATCTACAAGTACCAATCAAAATTATATAGGGGAAAGAAACCTTACCAAATTTGAGGCACAAATGATCATACTCTAGAGCCCTTCATTTCACGGTTTCTTTCCAGCAACCAAATAAACTTAAAAAAAAAAACCTGCAGAATCCAGAGCAAGCATGATAACAGAAGGATATAAGAAAAATGAATTACCAAAATATATATAGGACAATCACATCATTATCTATCCCTATTACAAAATTCAAGAAACAAATAGGGGCAATAAAATTTAAATAAGAAAAGGCAGAAAACATTGTTAATAGTTAAAGTGACTAAGATATTGATGTTTCACCATATATTTGGTTTATTTCAACTTGGATCGTTTTCTTCTGCAAGATTCTTTGCTTAATTTAAATATATAATCAAACATTCCTCCCTAATTAAAAGCTTGTGGTACCAACTATTTCATTTGACTGAAAATTATATGTTTAAATACTCACGGGCTGTTTGCTTGATAGCCATTTTTTCTATCTCAGTGTTTTTCAAAATCACTCATAATTACTTTGGCCCCAATTCTAAAACAGAAAAATGGCAAGAAAAGGGCTTTTTGCAAAAGCATAAGTACATACCAATTCGGCAGTGAATTCTCGTGATTCCTCCTGGGACCTTGATGAGATTATTGCTGGTGATCTGAAGATAGAAAGCTTGAATTAGGGTGGACACAACCTAACTAAAAATCCGACGGATCAAAAGTTTAACCCAAAAGAACCCCCCATCTCTCTTATCAAATGAAAACTCTGAAAGCAATTCAATGGTTGATAACAACCCATTTAAAATTGAACCCAAAAAACTTTAAAGCTTCTGACATTTAAAACTAAACAAAAACTGACCAAGACCCACAAAATCAGCCAAAAGATACAAAATTATTGTAATGGAAATTTTTTTTTTTAAATTAAAGCTGGTTTAATATTCATTCTTGGACAACGAATTGAAAATTCTGCAGCAAAACCAAAAAAAAAAACAAAAACAAAAAGAGCAAAAAATCTTATTGGGGTTTTCAACCTGGGTTTAAGAAATAAATGCCTCACATAAAGAAAGAAGAGCCAACCAATAAGTAAGAAAGACATTAGTTGCTCCATCTATAGCACATTTTGCAACAACAGTTGGGCTCTTCAAACTAAAAGATCATAAATACATTTATGTAAGGGTAATCGGAACAAAAAAATGGAATTGAAAGTTGATTACGGACTACTCTGGTGTTTGCCCAATATTGGGGAATAAAAAATTTGGGAGACCATGCAAATTAATTCATTATAATGGTTTTTTGTAACCCAAGTAGAAAAGGATACAACTTAATAACAATGGAAACCACAGACCTATGTCATTACTTATTCAGGATCAAATCGAGCATATTTCTTATTCGGGACCTATGTCATTTCTTATTTGGGATCAAACAGAGCATATTTCATATTCGGGACCAATCAAAAGCAGATGCAATTTCAAACAAAACCCATAAAGCAAAAACAGACGATGCAAGCTGAGAAGCTCAAAAATCAGAGGGAGGAGGCCTTACCATGAGTCATGACTGTGACCTGGTTGTACTTGGCAAGACACCCTGACCTGCAGGGAGCCCGTCTTGATTTATCCCTGCAAAAAAAAAAAAAAAAAAAAAAAAAAAAAGCATAAAGATTCATGACAAATCAAATGGGGGTTTGGAGAAAACTGAGGGATAACATAACAGAACATAATAAAACTTCAAAAAACATGCTGCAAAACCATAAAACGCGCTCCACAAAACAAAACTTTTGGTGTCTGCTATATAATTTACAAAATTGTGAGGGACACGTCTCTTTGTGATTGTCTTGGGTATAGACTACACAATACATGTAAGTATATTGAATATTCATATAAATGCAAATCAGATAGGAATTAATTTCAATCTCACATAAACTATACTGAGTTTTCCGAGGCTAAGAGAGAAACCTGGAGAAGCCGATGCTATTGCAGAGATGGGCTCAGTTTTGGGTTCTGAAGGATCGGCTAGAGTTGGTGTTGTGGCTGCTAGGGTTTGAGAAAGGGTAAATGAAGGTCAAATAACTAATATCTGATTTATACTGAAATTCTAGCAATCAAGCAAAGAAGTTCGTATTTGAATAACGAATTATATTTACACATTATATTCCTCTCTTTGGTTCAGCGCTTTGCAGACAATCCAACATTTTTTTGTTTCTCTTGGTACGCCCATTTTTTGAATCATTTATGTGTCTATGCATTAAACAATATCTTGGTATAATTGAGAAAGAAAAAAAGATAAAACTGAAAATCAGAAAATTAGAAAGAAAGAAAAAATACATGCAAAGATTTAACCGTAAGAAACCCCAACATTCCCAGCATTCGAATGGTTAGAAAAATGATGAAACAACCAATTGGGCAATCAAAAATTTCAGATGAAGAAATCATACCTGTTCGTCGCTAAAATTTCCGTTGAGGAGGTTTCCTAGCCGACGAGCACACAGCTCCCCGGGAGGTTGGCGCCAGTCGATGCTTTCTGTTGGGCTTCTGCTTCACTGGCGAGCTTGTCGGGCAAGGCTGAAAGAGAAGGACAGAGTTAACTTTGAAAGGTGCTTTTGTGGGGCCTTAGGTATAGGCCTTGAGGCTCACAATCAAGATTAACTTTTAAGTGCTCAGGCGTGCCACTGCCATTTTTAGCATGACAGATGTAAAACGGATGTTGAGTTTTAGTTGTATATATATCCGAGAGGCTGTTTTAGTTATGAAATGTGCCTTTATGGGACCTTAGGTGTAGGCCTTGAGGCTTCCAATCAAGAACTAACCCAGTACTCGAATATATAATGTTTGTTTCATTGATTGCAAAAGTATTATGACTCTTATACTTCTGATTACCCGAGCCCAAAGAGCAGAAAGAATCCAAACAGGTGCCTTTGTAGGGCCTTAGATATAGGCCTTGAGGCTTCCCATCAGAATTACTTCTATACTCAAACGTTCGATGATAATCATAATATAACAGACATAAAACTAGGAAATAGGTCGATTATTTACGCCCCAAGTAACTTCGGACTTCTTGTTATCAAAGACTGTTGTGGATGGGTTAAGTCCACGTAAGGTTCTTTTTTATGCCTTGAGACCAAGGACTTTTGAATGATCAATCTTACATGCCCGAGAGCTTAGAACTCAGATCTGATTTAAACTGTGAAGACACATTCCAGTTGGATTTAAGAACTGAGGAGTCTTTTAATCATCAACTTGCTAGAAATAACTTGGATACAACTGGAAGTATACAACATATTGCTAGATTAATGAATGAAAAGACAAAAACAAATAGGGTCGAGCAAGGCTGATCGTCTTGCACTTCCTATTTTTGTGGTTTATCAAGGGGTTTGAGAGCTTAGAAAGAGGGATAGGGAGATGAGATTACAAAAAGAAATCGATACTACATCAAGTTTTAGACAAGGTAGCAGAGCTATTACAAAGGGTTTGGGTGAGGGTTGATCCTGAAAGGGATGAAGGCTTGGGCTGAATACAGCTTCGTTGAAGGCAAATCTGGCTTTGAGCAGAGTTTGTGCTTGTATTTGTTTGTTTGATTGAGCGTCTTTATCTCTGATTTCTCTTTCTTCTTTTATAGACACTTCGGCTTGGCCTCCTGTAGCAGTAATATTGCCCGAATGCAGCTTGAAGGGTAATGACTCATCAGCTATTTACTTGTATTGCCACTGTAAAGTGCTTTTGGGCTGATTAGCTGGCTGGTCTACACCACTTGACTTCTAAGTGGGTGAGTAAGTGGTTCAAATGGTCTCCACCTAGTCAAAAAAGGGCCTCTCCTGCTTTCTGGGCTTTGGCTGGGCTTCAAGCTTTTCCCCTTCTAGACCTTCTTTTGGGCCAACTCCTTCTTGAGCCCAAAGTTCAAGTTTTAACCCAAACAATACCAATGGGTTTCCATTAATTTCGATATCTAAGTTTCACTTTGTGAATCGCTCCAAATCATTCTCCTGCCAAAAACAGAAACAAACCCCCAGAATAAGGAGCTCTGTTGGTTCCCAAATATTAACTATTGTTTCACTTGTACCCTTCATCAAACAGGTGGTGATCACTATTACTAAGTAGGATTGCAAATTGAGTATCTCATTATTATAGGAATCAGAAGTCATCTTCCAGAAGAAAGAAAAAGTATAAAGCACGACTCAAATACCAGGGATAGGCAATCAAACTAATAGTGCAGCGAAGATAATAAAACACGACCTACTACTCCCTCTCACTCGCTCTATGCAAGGGCGGAATGACTCTTATTCACCAAACCCTCATCGAATGATAGCCACGTAGACCCATTCCAATCTGTCCCAAACCCATAGGACAAAATTAACCTTCCTAACTTAGCATCCTGACCGCTTCGAATCCAAAAACTTTTAGCACAAAGAGTCCACATGCATAAGTAAAATTCACAGATCTAGTGCATGCAAGCATACATCAGTAAATGGAGCCAGAGATTATTACGTTTTACCTTGGGTCCGAGTTCCTTAAGTCGTGCACTCTCCATTTTCCAAACGGACTTGAGTGTTGCAGTAGCATCCTACAAAGAAATCACAGATACATCAGCTGGTACAGAGAATAGACACATTTTTTTGTTTCAGACCGCAGATCCAAGAACCACAAACTTATTTCACCGATTCTTGGTTCTGGACAAAAAAGCGAAGCAAGGGATTGGATGTTTACCTTTGGAATTTTTGTACTCTCTAATGAGAGAGGGGAACCTAGAATGACAAACAAACCAAAGGGCAAACAAATAAATAGACGCCCAGAAGATCCCCCAATCAATTAAAAAAAAAAAACCAAAAACCATGCTACATAACCTAACCAAACAACACAAAAAGATTTGGAAATTTTTTTTGGGCTTTCAATCACCACATTCACACAGATATAAATGCAAAAACAATAAAAAAAAAACTAAGATTTTAATACAGAATTTAATTGAAAAAGACACTTATCTGAACATGCTTGAATGCTATCTATCAATGGTAATTCCCCAAATCCAAACAAACCCCAAAGCAAACAGGGCAACTACATATGTATTAAATTCACAATAACAAATAAGTAAAATTTAGCAAAATTTAGCTCCATCAAGCAAAATTTAGCATCTTCCATCTTCACCATAGCAGGTGGACTCATCTACCTTTAGCTGAATCAAACCAAAATCAAGATTACCAAAGTTAATTACAACCGTTAATTTCTATAAAATCATACCTCAAAAGGTAAAACAAAATGAAATTGAAGGGTTTTACATGGATTTGCGAATGCAAGAATTTGAATTTCCAAAAATCCACCACTATAAAAATCCCCCAAAATACTGAGATTTATACCCAAAAAAGGAAGAAAATTTCCAAAACATGAAACCCTAAAAACCAAATATATAACTATTTCTATACTGCACCACCATTTCAAATTACTATGCCAAGAGAAGGAAGAGGAACATTGTGAGAACAGAGTATAATTAACCATTTTGATGTTCCTGTTAATTATGTCTAAAAGAATGTCCATGTCCAGTGCATTCTGATAGGATTTTTAACGTCTATGTAACTAGGGTCAAAATCACATAAAATACTTGCAAGAATTAGGGGTGGGTTCAAAAAACCGAAAACCGAAAAAAACCGAAAACCAAACCAAACCGAAACCGAAAAAACCGAACCGAACAAAAAAACCGAACCGAATTGAAAAAACCGAACCGAACCGAATTCTTTTGGTTCGGTTCGGTTTTAGTGATCTAGAAACCGAACCAAACCGAACCGAACCGAATTAATTAAATTAATTTTTTTATTTAATTATTTGTTTTGGATATTATTTTCTAAACCCAATTTGTAAGTTAAAATATGCTAAACCCAATGTGTTGCCAAACTTTAAGCTCAAAATATTAAAAAAAAGTCCTATAAAAACTTTAAACCCTAACCTATTATTTATCCCCCATATAAGGTTCCGGAGCCAAACCTCATCCTGAAGTACCTACATCCATCTCCATAGCACTGTCTACTTTTGTCTCAGCTTTCTTTTCCAAATCTACTCTCATATAACATGTAACAGAATCTATAAACATTTATTTCGGGTAGATTACTTAGGGAATTTGTAATGGAAAAGAATCCAACACACACTAAATAAATCCACCCACGCATTTCTTTTACTAATCAAGTTGTCAACATGCAGTTACAAGCAAACAACCCTGATCTTTGAACAACATCATACAATTTAACTTTTCTAAGTCATTTGTACGATTTTTGTGTTGTGATGTTGTTAGTTTGGACTTTGGAAGACTTGATTGATGATTTTAGTTCAACTTTAAATGTTTATTTTCATTGTCTTTGATTATAGTTAGAATGCTTGTGTTATGATTGTGTTGGATACGTTAAAATTTAAATTTTCAATGTTTTTCATTTTTTAAAAGAAAAAAAAAACAAAAAACCGAAACCGAACCGAAACCGAACCGAAAAAAACCGAACCGAAAAAAAACCGAACCGAAAAAAAAATGAACCGAACCGAACCGAACCGAAATTTCGGTTTGGTTTCGGTTTTGGCAAAAAACCGAACCGAATTAAACCGAACCCACCCCTAGCAAGAATACAAGGATATTGTAGTATAGATGCTCATGCAAGGTCGTTTTCCTCAAGGACTATTTGGATAATTTGTGTAGAAACAATTCCTAATTAAATACTTAGAATTAAAACTTGAGAAAAGAGAGTTCGAGAATGGGTAATATTAAAAACGAAATTTAAACAAAAACTAAAATAATCGAAGAAATGAGTTTAAATACCAATTTATAAAGGCACTAGGGTTCCACCATCACCTAGCAATCCTATGAATTTCTACCAATTACTTACGATTTACACATGCCACTTCAAATGTTAGGTTTTCCTAATACATATTCTTCTCATGATATTCAAGCAAGAATGTATATCTAACATGCAATTCGTCTGTGATATTCAGATCAAAAATGAACATGCAAGACTCATTAAGTTTTATGAAAACCTTTTGAAGAACCATGCAACCCCTAAGAACGTGATATTCGCCTTAGATGAAATTACAATTATCAATCACAAGAAGCAATACTCAATCCTCCGGTGATATTCCGACCGAATTGCATCCAATTACTTGTCTAAACATCCTAATGGTGGCAAATCATCAAGATAATTAGATAGTTTAAAACAATGATCAATAATTCAAAGTGTGCATGCAATCAATCATAAGCAATTAAATAAAAATTACATATTCATGCTAAGGCTCAAGGTTTCACCCTAGTAAAAGGAATTAGTTATGCATAATCATAATTGAAATCATAGAAAATATTATTACAAATAAAAGGAATGAAAGCACCTTGAAGTAGAAAATCTCCAAGAACCCTAGCCAAGTTCTTTGTCTCTGAAGTTGAATAATAATAAGCGTCCAGAAAAATTGTAGACGGCCAAAGCAATATATTTGCTCCGCCCTCACAAACCCTAAGACATAGGTTTCTTATTCCAACTAGAAAACTAAGAAAAATAATAAAATATCTTAGAAAATAAAACCCTAATTAAACTAGGAGAATCTTCCAAGTACTTATCCAGCCACGTTTTAGCCTCAGATCTCCTCCAAATCCGGTCCAAAACAGCTTGTTTTAAAGATAAGGACCTTCCGACCACATCTCTAGAAGGCCACGAAATCATCCGAGGTCATCTTGGGCTCCAAAAACGCAATTTAAGCCCAGAAACGTCATTTTCCAGCACCGCACATTGCTCCTTTATTTTATCGCCAAAAAATAACCGCTTGATGGAAAAATCCCAAATTTTGATACGACCAAGCTAAGTGACTCACAAACATCTTTTAACTGGAATTACTCCAAAATTCGTCCATTTGACCACGTTTTGCTCCAGAGGAAGTCGAAAGTCCTATATTGAAAATACAATTCAAAGTATCAAAATTCTTCCAAAATATACTAAGAATATGGTTAAATATATAATATAAAATTCACTTATCAAAATACCCCCAAACTTAGCTTTTTGCTTGTCCTCAAGCAAAACAAGACTCAAACAAAAATAAAAACTTAACAAACTAGACAACTAGCTAAAATTAACTGACAAAAATTTTTACCTTCAAAGTTGCAATCCATAGCAAATTTTAAAAACTAGAACATCTTTTCAAAAGTTCCAACCAATCCCACTACAGAGTCTAAGCCATTTAGAATCAATTAGAAAAGAATTCACAAACTTCCTTTGGTGTAAAGTGAACCAACATAGTTAAGGAGACTCAACTAAAACTCTTACCTCTCGTCCTTCTATATTTCACACATACTACTTGTAAATATAACTATTTGTTTTTTTCTTTTTCTCTTCAATTGTTTCTCTTTTTTTTTCTTAGTAACAGTAGTGGTCGTGCAATGTCGGTTCACTTAAGCTTTCAATCCAACCCATGTAGCGAGCTTTAGGTCAATGACTCCCAAACCACTAGGGCTTTAGGGCATTAGGTGTAGAACACCCCTAAGGACTTATTAACCCGAGCTGAAAAGGCTACGAAACCAACTAACCACCCTGCCTCATGCCAAAACTCTACCGTTTGACGCGAGAATCATTACTGATTAGGCAGGACTGGCCCGGTTACTAGGCAGAACCTCGGGTGAGACAATTATTACTTTATAACACATACTAACTTTACTTTATTTAGAACAAAAATAAAAATACACTTGGACAAAAAGCAAGTGTTTCAATCTCACTCCCCACAAACCATGTTGGTGTGATGTGCAATTGTCAAAGTATAATTCGTGAATTGGTGTCTAAGTAACGATAAATAGAAAAGACTCTATTGTAAGATTAATCTTTACCATGTCCATTTGTTCTAACGTTTAAAATAATCTATAAATATTAACTTAAAAACGAAAAAATTTAACTGACACAAAAATAAAAATCCTAAATTTTTACTACTTTCCCACCCCCAAACTTATTTCACACTTTGTCCTCAAGGTGTGAAAAATAAAATAAAACTAAACTGAAACATCCAAAGAGAAGTCAACAACAATCCTAAGCGATTGGAATATGGGAGAAAACGAAATGAAAAATTGAAAAGCAATAAAAAAAAACAAAGCAGACAAACAATGAAAGGATACACAAAGACAAATAAAAGAATGAGAAATGGAGCAAGACACACCTGGGTGGGGTCGAACCTAGTACAGGAAAGCATCAAAGAAATGCTCAAAAAATATTTGTAGTCCAAAAAGGAGGCTCGTGACCAACGACCGAGCATATAGACAAAAACTTGGAAAACAAACATTGGGCCTCGAGGAAAATGGCGTGCAAACACATCGAAGCCCAACTAGCTGCGGCATTGACTCACGCATGCACACACGTACATCCACAAACCCTACCTTGGATTCCCTATTGCACTCCCTCGAGCCCAGAGTTATACTTGTCAGCAAAACCAGAGCCAAACGGCTCTGTGTCTTGTCATTTTTCAAAACCCACATGTCTGACAAATCACGTGAAATGGGTAGCCTTGGACACGTGGCAAACATCAGTGCATTGAAACTCTTAGGATTCCAAACGAACAGTCAGATTACTTGTATTCATGTTGAAAGCTTTGGATACCTGAAATGCTTCTCATTTTCATTTTTTTTATTGTAGAAACTGAAAGAACAGAGTCATTTCTCTCGGCCCTCATTGCTCCCCACAAAGAAAAGAACACAGTCACGGAAAGAACACATTCATTTTCAATTTTCAATTTTCCTTCTCTCTCTCTAGAAAATCCCCAGAGACTCTCAGTGTGCACAACACTCGCAGCCCTCGCATTTCTATTTGTCCCATAAATGGGAGTTATCATCTGCACGGGAGTTCGGTCGTGAATCCTAAATTTCTAAAGGTAAAAACACGTTCCTTGCTGTCATTTAGATCCATTGAGCTTATTTTCATGGAAAAAAAAAACAACTAATGCATGCATGCCTTTGTTTCTGCAAGAGGACTCGGATCCACAACAAAAGAGAGAGGCAATAATACACAGATTTTTGTGAGTTAAAACGTGTGTAGACTGCTCACAGATCTGTTGTCTGCAAAGTAGAAACAGAAGCAAAGCGTCTCCGACCCACAGATCCGAGCATAAGAAAGGTAAAACTCCTGTCGTGAAATGTTGAGCTTTGTATGGCCAAGGATAGCTCAATGTCACTGCATAACCCAAATCTCTGTCTCTCTGCGCCTGTAGGTGATTCAGATCGAGTGGAAATCCGAGAAAAAATAGTGCGCAAGCTGTAAATGTAGTCGACAAAATGGCAAAGCAAATCTCTAAGTCAACGCGATTGTGGATTGGAAAGGTATAAACACCCATCTCTGCTGGAACCATGTTGGATATAGAAATCTTGTGTAAATGAGTACAGCAGCATGCATGTATTATCTTCTCCCCATGATAAACTTAGTGAAACCTGATCACCCCAAAACATCTCTATGCCCATGTGGACTCGAAACGTGTCGAGGACAAAGAATTAATCAACCCCCAAACTGATACACCTGTTTCCACTGGACCTCATACACTTGATTGTTCTGTTGCAGGGAAAATACCCCAGATTGGCAAAGGCAACGTGATGACAAAACTATGAGCTTACACTGAATAATGGCCGCTTAGCAAAATAGAAAGGTATAACATCACATCCCTGCTTGTGTATGACAAATCTGCTACTGGATGCATGATTCCGTCTAAAATGATCTCTCTGTGCATTAAGTCTTGTTTGTCTGCTGGCTGCATAAAAAGCAGTTGTTGAAATCAGAGATAAAAATGTAGAAGATACTATCAGTAAAATAAAACAAGTAAAAACAAAGTATGTTTTTTTTTTTGTTATTTGTTATTTTTTTTGTTTAATTTTTAATGAACACGAAATGCAGCTAGAAATTGAAAGTGATGAAAGAAAAATGAAACAAAGTAAAGAAAAAGTTAGAAAGTTGGGTTGCCTCCCAATAAGCGTTTTATTTAAAGTTTGCAGAAATCTAGTGGTTAAATCACTGGATCCCTCAGAGTTAATGACTCGCGTGCTGTGTGATAGGGTGATTCCAAGTATGGTTTGAGCCTGTGATCATTGACCTTGAATTCATGACCTGTGACCTCATTTTTTATCTCCACAGCCCCATGTGAATAAACTTTAGTGACCACATATGGCCCTGTCCAACGTGACTTAAGTTTGCTTGGAAACAACTTTAATCTGGAATTGAAAAACAACACCTTTTGCCCTGTGTAAAATTCTCTGCCAAGGATTTTACTGTTATGAAATGCCTTAGTCTTGTCTTTGTAGATTTTTGAACTTTCATATGCATCATTACGAATCTCATAGAGCTCATTGAGCTCCAACTTACGCTTCTCCCCAGCTGAATCATATGCAAAATTTAGCTCCTTAATAGCCCAAAACGCCTTGTGCTCTAGTTCCATAGGTAAATGACATGCTTTCCCATACACAAGTCTAAATGGTGACATCCAAATTGGGGTTTTAAAAGTTGTCCTGTAAGCCCACAGTGCATCATTTAATTTCAAAATCCAATCCTTATGTGTAGAGCCAACTGTTTTCTCCAAAATCCACTTTAATTCTCTATTTGAAACTTCCACTTGACCAGATGTCTATGGATGATAAGGTGTAGCCACGCGATGAGTAATCCCATACTTTGCTAATAAAGCTTCAAACTGTTTATTAATAAAATGCTTCCCCCCATCACTAAGAATCACAGGTGGAATTCCAAAACGTGGAAATATAACCCACTGGCGGAATTTCAGTACCATTGATCCTTGATTAGTGGGTGTTGCAATGGCCTCGACCCATTTAGAAACATATTCCACAACAACTAAAATGTATTGATTTCCATGAGATGATGGGAATGGTCCCATGAAATCAATACCCTAAACATCAAATAACTCAACAATTAAAATACTTTGCTGGAGCATCTCATTCCTTTTGGATTGGTTGCCGACTCTTTGACACCTGTCACAAGCTTTGCACCAATTATGTGCATCTTTAAATAATGTAGGCCAAAACAACCCACTTTGTAAAATTTTCTCTGTTGTCTTTTTCTGTCCAAAATGTCCCCCACATGAATACTGATGAGCAAAACGTAAAACACTGTCTTGTTCAACCTCGGGAATGCACCTATGAATAATTTGGTTTGGACAATACTTATATAAGTATGGTTCATCCCAGAAATAATGCTTGACATCAGACAAAAACTTCTTTTTCTGCTGAAATGAAAAATCGGGATGCATAACACCCGTAGCCAAATAATTAACAATATCAGCAAACCAAGGTGTATTAATTTGGGCAGCAAAGACTTGTTCATCTAGAAAACTCTCACTCAATGGTAGAGAATCTGCCTCCTTAGCTGCTGGAATAATTAATCTGGATAAATGGTCAGCCACCACATTTTCATTGCCTTTCTTGTCTTTAATTTCTAGATCAAATTCTTGAAGTAAAAGAACCCAACGAATCAACCTAGGCTTTGCATCCTTCTTAGACAACAAGTATTTTAATGCAGCATTATCCGTATAAACAATTATCTTAGCCCCAACCAAATAAGACCGAAACTTCTCTAATGCAAACACAACTGTCAACAATTCTTTCGCTGTGGTAGCATAGTTAAGCTGTGCATCATTGAGTGTACGAGTTGCATAATAAATGACATGGGGAAGTTTGTCTTTCCGCTGTCCTAAAACTGCCCCAACAGCATAATCTGAAGCATCACACATTAATTCAAATGGTAAACCCCAATCTGGTGCAGCAATGATGGGTGCCGAAGTTAGGAGTGATTTCAACTTGTTGAACGCTTCTAAGCACGTCTCATCGAAGTTAAATGGTGCATCTTTGGCCAATAAATTGCACAAAGGTTGGCTGATCTTGGAAAAATCCTTGATGAACCGACGATAAAATCCTGCATGTTCGAAAAACGATCTAACACCTTTTACTGATGTAGGGGGTGGCAACTTTGCAATCACATCAATTTTAGCTTTGTCAACTTCAATGCCTTTGTTAGAAATTGAATGACCCAAAATAATTCCCTGTTTCACCATAAAATGACACTTTTCCTAATTCAGCACTAAATTTGTTTCTTGACATCTCTCAAGAACTAAGGACAAATTATGTAGGCATTGATCAAATGAATCTCCAAACACAGAAAAATCATCCATAAAAACTTCCACAATTCTTTCAACCAAGCCAGAAAAGATACTTATCATACAATGCTGAAAAGTGGCAGGTGCATTGCATAACCCAAATGACATCCTTCGATAGGCAAATGTCCCAAATGGGCATGTAAATGTTGTCTTCTCTTGATCCTTTGGTGCAATTGGGATCTGATTATACCCAGAATAGCCATCCAAGAAACATTAAAAAGCCCTGTCAGCCAATCTTTCTAACATTTGGTCAGTAAACGGTAGAGGAAAATGGTCTTTTCTTGTACCTGCATTTGGCTTCCTATAATCCACACACATACGCCAGCCTGTAGTTAAGCGTGTAGGAATAAGCTCATTGTTGTCATTTTTAACTATTATAATGCTAGTACGTTTAGGAACAACCTGCGTAGGACTCACCCATTTACTGTCTGAAATAGGATAAATCATACCTGCATCAAGTAATTTCATAACCTCTGTTCTGACCACCTTTTTCATAATTGGGTTAAGGCGACGTTGAACATCAACTGTTGGCTTCACGTCGTCTTCCATTAAAATTTTATGCATACAGATTGCTGGGCTAATACCCTTGATGTCAGCAATTGTCCATCCTAGTGCATCTTGATATTTCCTCAAAACACGAAGCAATTTATCTTCCTCTATGGGAGTTAAATTAGCTGCAACTATAACTGGCAGCGTTTCTGCAGCTCCTAAATGTGCATATTTTAAATGTTCTGGTAAGGGTTTCAGCTCCAATTTTGGTGGTTGCTGTCTGGACGGCTTAAGGGGCTGTTTTGGCTCCCCTAAGCTCTCGTAAACATTTCTAAACCTTGGCAACTGTGTGGGCAGACTGTCCAATGCATGAATGTACTCAAGAACACCGTCATCTTCATAATCTGTCCCAATTTCCCCTTGTAAAACGTGCAGCAACTGATCTGTATTTGAACTGGCATAAAAACTATCTTGAACCATATTGTCTAACACATCAATGCGCATACAATCTTGTTGTTCAGCAGGACGTTTTGCTGCCTCAAACAAATTAAATACCACAGATTGGTCTTGAACTCGTAAAGTTAGCGTTCCAGCTTCCACATCGAGTAAAGTCCTAGCTGTTGCCATAAACGGCCTCCCCAAAATGATAGGTGTTTGAAGGTCCTTATCCATGTCTAAAACCACAAAATCCACCGGGAGATAAAGATTGTCAACCTTAATAATAAGATCTTCAATAACACCTCTTGAATAAGTGATTGAACGGTCAACTAGTTGAAGTATAATTGATGTAGGCTTTAAATCTCCTTGTCCCAATCGCTGGAAAACATAAAAAGGCATCAAATTAATACTCGCACCCAAATCAATTAAAGCACTTTTAAAATCAGAATTTCCAATAGTACAAGAAATATTAAAACTCCCTGGATCTTTTTTTTTAGGTGGTAGTTTGTGTAGCAAAACTACACTGCACTGTTCTGTCAAAACAGCTTTGTCCAAATCTGCAAGCTTCTTTTTGCTGCTACAAACTTCTTTCAGAAATTTGGCATATGATGGTATTTTCTTGATTGCATCCAGCAATGGAATGTTGATTTGAACCTTGGGTAATGTCTGCATGAAATCTTTGAGTTGCTGATCTCTTGCTTTAGGAATTACACGTTCAGGGTAAGGCAGTGGAGGGTCATAAACACGCTGAGAATTTTGTTTTGGGATTGTTTCTGTACTGTGCAGATTCTGTTTTTTTACAGATTTGTCAGGTTTTGCTGCTGGCATTTCAGATTCTGCAGTAATTGGCACTGCAGGCAGATTCTGTTCAGTACAGTTTGCATGATTGTCATAACTTTTTCCACACCGTGAAGTCCGGACAACATTGCAGTCTTCATGTCCTCTTGGATTAGGCACTGTTTGACTAGGAAATTTGCCTTTTTCTCTGTCTGAAATTTGTGCAGCTAGCTGCCCAAATTGTTGCTCTAAACTTTTAATTAATGCTTCAACATTTTGAATTCTTTGATTGCTGCCTTCCATGAATGTTTGTGTTGTAGCTGCCATTTTAGAAAGTTGATCTTCCAGGGATGATTTTGATGGCACAAAAGGTTTTTGTACATGCTGGAATGGTTTTGAATTATTCTGATTATCACCCCATTTGAAATTAGGATGATCCTTTCATCCTGGATTGTAATGAGTTGCATATGCATCATTCCTAGGCCTTTGATAGCTGTTCATCATATTAACATGTTGCTCCACAAGCTCTGGGTAAGATTTTTTATGTGGACAACCCAATATGTTGTGTGTAGCTATGCTGCAGATAGTGCAAACTGTTGCCGCAGGTGGCTGCTGCTGTGTAGAATTTGCTATCTGTTGTAGAATAATATCAAACTTGGCATTAATTTTCTTCTCTATTTTTTCCATTTGTGCAGGCATATTAGGAGAACCTGCTGATAACTCAAAAATGCCCCTTTTCTGTGAATGTTTTGCTGCCCATTGTTGAGATTATGTAGCCATTGTATCAAATAATTCAAATTCTTCTCTTGTAGATTTATTTGACAATGAACCCCCAGCTGATGCATTAACATGACTTTTGGATGTAGGATTAAGCCCATTAAAGAAAATATTTATTTGTATATCTGGATCAATATTAACATGTGGACATTTTATACATCTCTGTATATCTCTCCCACGCTTTATGAAATTCTTCGTTTGGCTTTTGAGTGAATGTTATAATTTCCCGCTTGTAATTCAATGTCTTGGATGCCGGATAATATTTGTTCAGGAATCTTGTATGCAATTGTTGCCAAGTAGTAATGCTATTAGCTGGTAGAGTGAATAACCAAGTTTTAGCCTTATCCTTCAAAGTAAAAGGAAAAAGATGTAACTTAATAGCCTCGGCAGAAAAACCCCTGATCAAGATATTTTTGCAACCCACGATAAATTTTGCAACATGTAAATTCGCATCCTCGTTAGACAGCCCACGAAAAGTAGGTAAAATTTCAAGCATATGGTGCTTGATCTCAAATGAATCGCCATCTTCCTGGGCAGGATATACAATACAATTAGGAACATCATTAGCTCGGGCAGCCAATGACTCTGAGTGGCTTACCTGCAGCAGGCAATTGCAACGCCATTGTGATTTTACTGTCCACAAAACCAACAAACAATTCCTGCAGAAACGTGCCTTGCAGTGCACAGTCCCAAACCAAATTATTTTCTCTCCTCTGTCTACGTAGTGTGTGTTCGGGTTCTGGATCAAACTGTGCAATCTGGGCAGTTCCTGATCTAGTTTGGACCATGCAGTTTGCAGAATCTGCAATAAAACAAAAGCGTTAAAATGATTTTTTTTGACGAAAAATAATATATAAAAAAGATAATCAGAAAAAGTTTAAACAAAAATTATCTAAAATAGTCCCCGGCAGCGGCACCAATTTCTTGATAGGATTTTTAACGTTTATGTAACTAGGGTCAAAATCACATGAAATACTTGCAAGAATACAAGGATATTGTAGTATAGATGCTCATGCAAGGTCGTTTTCCTTAAGGACTATTTGGATAATTTGTGTAGAAACAATTCCTAATTAAATACTTAGAATTAAAACTTGAGAAAAGAGAGTTCGAGAATGGGTAATATTAAAAATGAAATTTAAACAAAAACTAAAATAATTGAAGAAATGAGTTTTAAATACCAATTTATAAAGGCACTAGGGTTCCACCATCACCTAGCAATCCTATGAATTTCTACCAATTACTTACGATTTACACATGCCACTTCGAAGGTTAGGTTTTCCTAATACATATTCTCCTCGTGATATTCAAGCAAGAATGTATATCTAACATGCAATCCGTCTGTGATATTTAGATCAAATATGAACATGCAAGACTCATTAAGTTTTATGAAAACCTTTTGAAGAACCATGCAACCCCTAAGAACGTGATATTCGCCTTAGATGAAATTACAATTATCAATCACAAGAAGCAATATTCAATCCTCCGGTGATATTCTGACCGAATTGCATCCAATTACTTATCTAAACATTCTAATGGTGGCCAATTATCAAGAAAATTAGATAGTTTAAAACAGTGATCAATAATTCAAAGTGTGCATGCAATCAATCATAAGCAATTAAATAAAAATTACATATTCATGCTAAGGCACAAGGTTTCGCCCTAGCAAAAGGAATTAGTTATGCATAATCATAATTGAAATCATAGAAAATATTATTACAAATAAAAGGAATGAAAGCACCTTGAAGTAGAAAATCTCCAAGAACCCTAGCCAAGTTCTTTGTCTCTGAAGTTGAATAATATTAAGCGTCCAAAAAAATTGTAGACGGCCAAAGCAATATATTTGCTCCGCCCTCACAAACCCTAAGACATAGGTTTCTTATTCCAACTAGGAAACTAAGAAAAATAATAAAATATCTTAGAAAATAAAACCCTAACTAAACTAGGAGAATCTGCCAAGTACTTGTCCAGCCACGTTTTAGCCTCAGATCTCCTCCAAATCCGGTCCAAGACAGCTTGTTTTAAAGATAAGGACCTTCCGAACACATCTCCAGAAGGCCACGAAACCATCTGAGGTCATCTTGGGCTCCAAAAACGCAATTTAAGCCCAAAAACGTCATTTTCCAGCACCGCGCATCGCTCCTTTATTTTATTGCCAGAAAATAACCGCTTGATGGAAAAATTCCAAATTTTGATACGACCAAGCTAAGTGACTCACGAACGTCTTCTAACTGGAATTAATCCAAAATTCGTCCATTTGACCACGTTTTGCTCCAGAGGAAGTCGAAAGTCCTATATTGAAAATACAAATCAAAGTATCAAAATTCTTCCAAAATATACTAAGAATAGGGTTAAATATATAATATAAAATTCACTTATCACATTCTTTCTAATAATTGACACAAACAAATATGCAGCCATTTCATGTAATTCGAAGAGGAACAACCATATACCTGAGTTTTTTTTTTTCCAAATGATTAGCCACCCTCTCCCCAAATCCCCTGAACATAAAATTCTCATGCGCTCATTTGCTCCATGTTCTGCCTTGCTCCCATTCGGATCCTTCTCTTTCTCCTAGTTGGAGACTCTAATTCAAGTAAAATCAAACATTCAAACAACTCAAATGAAACATTCAAACAACTCAGCTCTCACTTGACTGGTACCAAATGAAGGCCATTAATACTTATTATAATTTAATTAAAAAAATTAAAAACACTTGAATGAATTTAACAAATGAGTGAGCAGTAGTATGTAATTAATTAGTATTCTTGACAAATATGTACCTACTGCTCATCCAAGATATAATTCAATGTCAAATTGAAATCAATATTCATATGAACTAATTTAAACAATAAAAATAACTGAATCATTTACCCAAGATATAAATTAACATCATCAACTCGCCTAAATAAAAAATTTACATTGGTGAAATATACAACCCAAAGGCAAAGTATTCCCTGCAGTTAATTCAAACGACATTGACAAAAAATTCCCAAAAAAATCGATATTCTTACAGCCACTTTTATCATATTTTATAAACACACAAATTATCAAACAAAAAGAGGGGTTAAGAAAAATACCCACTAATTTCACAAATCTGCTCCAGAATGATTTCTCCAAGCACCCTAGTAGCAGCAAATGGCTCCACACCGCGTGCTTCAAGGCTCGAAGTAGCAACCTCGAACCCTTTTCAATTCAACATAAATTACAGCAATAAAAACCTACAAAAAACCTGTATAAGGCAATTAATAAAAATATTAAAAGAAAAAAAAACAGAGAACCACCAAATCCAATTTTCAATCACTTAAAATTATACAATTGCAGTTCCTAAAACAAAAATAATTTGCAGAAAGAAAATTAGAAAATTCGAACTTGATAACAATCTACCTTAAGAAACCCCATTACTGAGTAACAACAACAACAACATCGAGACATAATTTGGTGAATATTTATGGTGGACAAATTTAACAACTCTAGTACTGTTAACAAAGCTTCAACCAAAACAAAGAAATCAAATCAATATATACCTGCATATCCCCAGTCCGAATTGTACTCTCGTGCCCTGCAATGTCTTGGTGAGTGATTCTTGCCTGAAATCCAAACAAAACAAAATTTGAAATTTTAGTTTCCAACACATTTAACCTTCACAGCACACAAAAAATAAAAACTCTCATCAATAGAAAATCAAAGGGAAAACTTGAAATTATATACCTGAGGCACAAATGGTTCGCAAACGTGTAGACTGAGATAAGTGCCAGACTTGCTTCAAGGTGCCTAAGGACTTGTACCTTCATTTCCTCCCTCTCTCTCACTGGGGCTAGGTTGAGAGAGAGAAGTCTCTCGAATTTGAGAGAAATGAGAGAGAAACGGTGCTAGGGTTGTAGGAAATGAGCTTACAGAGTGAGAAAAGGAAGATGGTTATCGAGAAAGAGTCGGGAGAGAGAAAGAGGGAAAGAAAAGGCGGTGGCAATTTTGTAAATAAAGTGAAATTCGGCTCAAACCTACGGACACAATCACCCCCTAACTTTTAAGAATTACCTTCCCAACCCAACCCAAATCTGATGGTTTTGTTGTAAATAGCGTGAAATCGAATGGCAAACAATTGACTGTAGCTCACTCCTCAATTTTAGAATAGATAATTCATTCACATTTTCCACATCACTACACTTTATGGCTTCGTCACCTTCCAGGTGTCTGCCAGCACAACTCGATTCTGAGTTGTAGTGGACAATCCGGGTCGGGATGTGTCAGTTTGGTATCAGAGCATAAGTTGGGCAGTATTGCATTCATCATACGCGTGATGTAAGCATTCTAGGTTCTTAAGCCTAATATTTGAATCTTGCCACCTCGTCGAATCATGAAAAATGTGTTAGCTTTTCGTAAGTTTTGGGCAGTTTTGTCGACTTGTTGACATTTTAGAAGATTACTTTGGCGAACGCCTTAGACTTAAAGCGAAGAAATTCCCTGCCCAGGAAAGGTGTAAATTTGAGGCAAGTTGATGGCCTTAAAGCAGGGCTAATGTATCGATAACTATGTATCACCGTAGACTTTACCAATCATTTCCATCACTATTCTCCAACCATTAGTATTAAACCTTTTGAGATAGGAAATCAGAAATAATTTTGATTCCTTGGCACTATCTATTAGAATACCACCTATTAGAATTCCTATGAAGTCTACTCTCGTCAAGACTCTAGAAATGTCTTGTGTAACGATGTGGTGCTAAAGTGGTAACACTCGACGAGAAAACATCTTGGGACAATCACTTTTGATCCCATATAGCACTAATCTTTCCAAATGCATTAGTGATCATTCCGATCTTCGGGAGGAAGATCGACTTCCGTTTAAGTTTGTTCTAAAGTAGATTATTAGAAAATTCTTTTTTTGGCCTTAGGACGTTCCTGCCAACGCTAGTTTCCCGAGTTTCTTTTGGTGATGTACTCATCATTTCAACGAGCATAGGCACAGGTGTACAAGATGTTATACCTACGATTAGTAGAAATCCCCGAAATAGTAAGTATTTTCTCTAGAATTGAAACCACCTCATCGGACCAGTTCCTTACCAATTGTCCAAAACCAACCATCCGAGCGGGCTCTAGCCTGTGATCAGTCCATTGTAGCGCTACTAATTGACAATATTATTCGATATCTGGGAGCTGT